AAAAGCTTTATCTACACAAATCTAAGACAAGCCTTTTGAGACGGAGGTAACAGTACATTGTGTGTTTTCTTTTCGCATTGTCCCTAGCAACACTACCTGTATGCATCTCAAATTTTGTAGTGGTTAAATTTTTTTTCGCGAATACGCAAAAGCTTGCGTATCATTCCATTGGTAGAAGGAAAAGAATGAGTACAGCGGGGGATACAACACATGACGCGAATGCAGACAAGCGCGCACATGGTGCCTGGAGCAGAGAGACAAGGGATGCTCGGCCCAAACAGAGGATACATCACAGCTAAACCTACCAAGCCTGACCCAAGAGCGGCAATGCCAAACCAACAAGAATTCAAACATCTCACGAGCCGAAACCGAGGACACCGCGAGCAAGCAAGATAGCGCCTTCAAGAAGGAATATGGCGCCGAGACGCCATTGCCATCCGGTCCGGAGGAACCGGACCTAGGGTTTTGTAACACCCGGATAATTAGGCTACAGTAAAACTCTCCTAATGATGCCATGTCATCTTTGATTACTGTTGCTAAACTTTCGTTAGTTCAAACCGATCCAAAAATCAATTCAAAAAAATGGCAAACAACAAAAGTTTTTAAAAGTTGAAACAAAAATGTTCAAACAGTGCCAAAAATGACATAGGTAATTATGGTGTAGAAGACACAATTTTATAAAATACCTAAATGCGTCTCTGAGGCACATAGCAGGCCAAGCATAGCGAGAGCGGTTATGCAGCCCATTATACCTGCGTCCATTTGATGATTTTATTTGTCTGAAGAACTGCCAGCTTCTTCGTCTCAGTTCCCATTATAGGGGATGATGATTCTAGGATCTAGAATCTCACAAATCTTTTCAGGAAATGAATCTTCCACAAATTTGTAAAGGCTCAGGTCATCTTTAGACATCTCATTAGTTGGACGCTTCCCAGTGAGCATCTCTAAGATGATGACTCCATAACTGTAAACATCTCCCTCTGTGGAGATTTTTCTCCCAAAGCCATATTCTGCAATACATATAATTTGTTCAAACAATTAATTAGCACAGAGGGATTGGAAAGAAAAATAAAGTAATATGTACCACTCCCTCCGTCTCATATATCGGTTGTAGTAACATCTTAGCCAACCTGAAGTCACCAACACGTGCACCCATTACATCATGCAGAAGGACATTGCTAGGCTTCACGGTGGACCACATGAGGCATGCAATGCTTATGGAGGTAATCGAAAACAGCGGCTATATCCACTGCTATTACTATTCTTGAACCCAAGCACAATATCCTTTTTGGACGACGCTCATGTAATATTGGATAGAGCCAACTTTCCAGGTCATCGTTTATCATATACTTGAGAAGAAGAGCTTTGAACTCATTTCCTGCCGGGTCACTCGTTAAGCATAGGGTGATCACCCTGACATGATTACGATGCCAAGTGTTTCTTAGTGCCTCACTTTCAGCAAGGAACTCTTTGTAGCTCCAAGTTGATCATGTTTGAAAACTTTGATGGCAATTGTATGATGTTCTTCCTATCTCTAGCTCCTTCCCGTGGGCCTTCTTGTCGTAAGGCCTTTGTCCATTTCCCGGGCTCCTTCTTGTCGCTAGCTCCATTGTGGGCCTTCTGGGGCCCTGGCAGCCTGCCGTCAGGCTCTCGGTGGGGAAGCCACCCCAGTGTGTTACACCGTCAGTAGAGCCTCGAGATTGTCTGGAGTTGGAGTTCTTTGGTCTTCGAGAACACAGACGAGCTCCTTTTCTCATGCTGGTTGTCAGAACTTGTCTTCGGGAGCTCGGCTTTGAAGATATCGATGGGCCTGCCCAACGCGAGGGCTTCGGCAACACACTCTGCTGAGCGCACAACCGTTGCACTGGGCTTTCTGGAGGCCGAAGCCTTGCGGGCCGAGTAGTCCTGGCGTCAGGTCTCCCATGGATTGAAACGTCACGGATTAGCCCCATCTTATTTTGGTAAATTGGGCTTTGTGGACCGTTTGAGGGCGCCCGTTTGTCAAGAGCCGTCACAGTTTCGAAAAAAACATAATGCCTGGATTTTCATGCCCACGTCTCACGAGCTGGGGCAAACCAAAATTTTAAAATATGCAATGATATTTTTAAATGCACAATTAACCTTTGTTAAAAATATATTAAACATTTTGATATACAAAATAACTATTTTGAAATACATCATGAACAATTTTAAAATATATGGTGACAATTTTTAAATACATGGCAACAATTATTTGAAATATGTGTTATGCATTTCTTAAAACACAACATCATTTTTAAAACAATATGTACATTTTTTAAATACATAATGAACAAAATAACAAGGACCATAACAAAACAAAATATTTTGAAACGAATAGAAAAAACGAAAGGATAAAATGAAATAAGATGAAAAGATTTTTTATTTAATAATTAAAATAGGAAAACATGATAATAAAATATTCATATAAGTAGTATGATGTTCAATGCATTTTATAAAAATGTTCTATGCTTTAAAAATGTTCATGCAGCTAAAAAGGAAAATGGAAGAAAAAACAAGAACGTAATATACAGTAAGAACAAGAAAAATGAAGAAAGAAAATGTAAAATAAGATAAAGAAAAAAAAGAAATAACATCTGAGAAACACAAACTCTGAATGAAAGAACAGAAACCAGACTGAAAACCTGTTTCAAAAATCACACACAAAACCCAGAAAAAAATTGACATTAACTACTATGGTGACCCATGTCCAATCACCCTGTAGACGAGCTCTAGCTGCAGGATGCGACTTGTAATAGGCGCTAAATAGCCATTGCGCTATTTTCTGCTGTAAGCAATGATTCTTTAATTGGGATTTATTTATTTATTTAGTGAATACATTTTTCACACGAAATTTAAGTTTTGGGAAAATATATTAATGAAATAAAATATTCATACTAGCGGGGAAAAAATATTCTCCTCGTTACAGAACTTCATATCTGTCTGAAAATGTTGACAATATTCAACACAGTAATAGAAAATGGAAATAGGTCCGCTGAGTTGGATGCACGCCAGGAAAACCCTCTAGTTACATTCGCTGGGAACATAACCTAAGGGACAAAAAACCTGGCGCACCACCAAACTAGCCTTATTACATACCGAAAAAACAAGCAGGTTCATCAAATAAACAGTACTGGCAAAAGCACACAGGACTTCAACCTGATGACATAGAAGGAACATGAACTGAACATGCAGAAGTGCTCGGAAGCATGCTACCGGGACCGGGAGGATGGAGACTTGCACGATAGAGAGTCGATGCCGATGAAATAACCACATCCTGCTAGCTAACAAAGGCAGAGACAAAGAATCACATACAGTGCATATTGCATAAAGAAGATGCTGAAGTAAACAGACAGCAGAGAGCTAAAGAAGATACTGAAAGAATAATACTACTAGTACTAGATACTCCCTCTGTTAACCAATATGAGACCGTTTAGATCACTAAAGTAGTGATCTAAACGGTGTTATATTAGTTTCCAGAGTGGGTACCAACTAAAATATGCATGATGTACAAATGAACTGGACGGAATTAGTACCTTCAGGACACTGGATTTTGTTCATCGCTCGGCTCAACTCGGCCTGTAATTGAAATTAATAATTGTTACACAAGCCAAAAGTAATAGGGGACTGCACTTATTTTGTAGAAAAGAAATAATTAACGACTGAACTAAATGCAGAAGCAGGAGTACCTCCCCGTCATGTCAAAATCTATCAGCACGAAGGGTGGGATTTTGGGGATGGTCGTCCGCCACACGCCTCAGTGCGCCCACGGCCTGAGAATACTCCTCTGTGCTGACTCCCCTATCGAGGAGGTCAATTCTGAGATGCTGGAGCGAAGGAAGGTTCCTTATGCTCAAATCGAAGTCAGGATTGACGATGTCATTCACTCGGAGACCAAAGCGAAGGCGTCGAACCATTGGCATAGCTCCTTGTTGGAACGTAGGGTTCACCAACATAATTTTGTGGAGAAGGCAGACTCTCAAGCTGGGGAAAGCTCCGGCGCTAAGCACCAACTTCTCCACTAGATGGCCCACGTTGAGGGTGCTTGCGTCGAGGACGACATGACACAGAGCCGGCAGCATCCCAAGGGTCTGAATATCCATGGATCGCACTTTTTTGATAACTATATATAGGTTTGAGAGTAGGGGAAGCGATGAAGAACAAATCCATTTAGGGAAGCTCATGAACCATCCGTCAAGTTTAAGCCTGCAGAGGTTTGGGGACGGCACCCAATCCAGTATAAGGTTGGAAACCCAAGGACTAAGAGAGAAGAGCTCCAGACTCTCGAGTTTGTGCAGCTTGCCTAGGGACTCCAGCAAAGCTTTTTGTGTTCTCAGATGATCCGGTTGCATCCATGGATCCCATTGGTCTGTTTTGACAAATTGATCCCATTTAAAGGCGAGCTCCCTTAGCCCAATAAGACAGCCCAGCCCTTTTGCGCTGTCTAAAGTAAAAAGGCCCACCCCATGTCCCGTCAGCTGCTCAAGGCTTGCCAGGTTGCTGAAATCGTTTGGTAGTGGCATATCTGAATCAAGGATTAGGCACATCAAATGCCTCATCTGAACCACACTGGATGGCAATTCTTTTGAATTGGTCCATTGCAAGTCTAGTGTCTGCAAAAGCTGTAGCTTTCCTACTTCCATAGGGAGCTTGCCAACCTTTGTGCCCCTTAAGCCTAGGTATCTCAAATGTAGCAGATTCTCAGCATGCCTAAGGTCAACAACACCAGGACTTTTTCGAAGATCACAACCTTCCAGATCCAATACACGTAAGACTTGAAATCCAGAAAGAGGAGGGATCTTACTAATAGCAGGACTAAAAGCAGTAAAAGACCTCACTTGTGACATGCTTGTGGTAGCCATTTGAGTAGTGGTGAGATCTGTCATGCTCTTCTGGATGGACAATCTGCGGAAATTCTTTTCCAAAGGTGTGTCTCCCTTGATAACATCCAATATAGTAACAAAGTTTACTTCGCTTGATAATTCACATATAAGATCCAACATTATGTCATGTACGCAACATGCTTCAACCCTACCATCAACATGTATCGGCTGGACCATGTTTCTGTTTACTAGCTCGTTGAAGTAACTATCTCCAAGCTCAAGTAGGCTGGTTGTTTCATCTTCTACTTGGATAAAACCTTCACATGCCCATCTCCTTATCAACCGGTCTCTGCTAATTTGATGGTCTTCTGGAAAGATACTTAGGTACAGAAAGCAAGTCTTCAAATAAGAAGGGAGATCATAAAAGCTCAATGATAGTATCCTCTTCATTTCCTTCACATGATCATCACCTTTTTTAAGTCCATGACCAATAGAGATGAGCAAGACATTCCATTGGTCAATCTGGTTGATCCTCTGATTATTAGCTAAATAACTAGCTAGACTAATGATGGCTAATGGCACCCCAACACATTTCTTCAAGATCATTATGGATACCTTTTCAAATCCAGAAGGACACACCTCACTTGAAAATATTCTTCTATAGAAAAGATTTTGGGAGTCATCCATAGAGAGAGATTTCATCTCATGAATCATACCATCTTTAGAAGAGCAGCAAACTCTGGAGACATCCATAAGACGGGTTGTAGTGATTATTATACTTCCACACTCATCGTCACTAAGTGCATATCTGATTGTTGTCCATGCTTCTTTATTCCATAAATCATCGATAATTATGAAGTACCTATGCACATGCCAATGCAAGAGCTACAAGTTAGCAAAAAAAAAGTATTTATCAAAAGCATGAAAGCATGTCAACCACCTCGATAATGCAACAAGGTACAGTTGTTACCGCTTGAGTTGTGGCTGTGTTTGATTCTTTGATTTAAATGATGGACTTTTTGATGGCTGGGTGTTCAGAAACGGGCTCAATACCGACCCAAAACCCAAACACTTTGAATCATACTATGACAAAAAATGTAATTCAAAGCACCTCAGCCCCACGGAATAGTGTCCACACTCCCACAACTAACACATGTATGCACCTTGAATAAATACACAAACCATGTTTTTTTTTGCGATGGAAATAGGCACACCATGTTGACCATAGGAATTAGACCCCTCAAAAAATGGGAATTAGTTCTAGTGAACGAGAGCGATACATTTAGTCTCGTCACGAAGACATCAACTGATAAAAGGCAATAATAAATTAAAAGCTAATAAAGAAAGAAACAATCTAGCAAATATTTTTATTTATACTCGTGTCAACTAAACATTAAAGCGCACATTCCGGTGAACCCATATGTATATACAAACCTTCCAAAATTCTGATTGAAAAGGTTGTGTTTGAAATTGCTAAGATTTATTTCCATAAGAACAAATACGTCAAGAAATTTGATAAATGTTAGTGACATACTGTGCTGATACTATGATACAAACTTTGAAAGGATAATTTTTCATAAAATGACACTTAAACACAATTTAAGGTTGCAAAAAACCTAATACAATACTAAAGTAACATTATCAAGAGTTGAGATTCTACAAACTCAACATATGATTAAATTTTAATCTAATGATAATGGTGGAGAGTAAGTTATAAAGTACTCCCTCCTTCCTGAATTAGTTGACACGACACGTTTAAGTGTTAAATACATCCGTATCTAGAGAAATCTAAACAATAATCTGGGACAGATTTTGTATATCAAAAGTTGAGTTATAATGAACGGAGGAGATATTCTATCAAATAATGTTTGTGATATCGCTTCTCGTTAACTTATCGGTCAACCAAGATAAGAGATAAATCAGCTTATCGACCGATTTATCAATTTTATCGGTTGACTATTTATCCGCAAGGTTTTTCTAAAATCTCAGGTTTTTGTATCATCAGGATCAATCAACATGGCAAACCCGTAAAGCCATGTCATCTCTATTCTTCAGAGATGACCTGAGATTACAGGAAGTAACCATCTACACAAATAGAGGCATCAGCCATGTATCAGACTACAAAACTCAACCCAAAAAAAATCAAGAGCTAAATCAGTTGGATCCCGCAGATTTATCGGTGAATATAGGCAAATATCGGTGATATATTGGTTGTCAGACCGATATATCGGCCAGACTTGTAAATGCCGGCGTTATTCACTTATCTTATTGGTCTGATCCCGATAACCGATAAATCGGTCGATATATCGGTATATAGGCCGATATTTTGAAAAGTGTATCAAATACAACCAAAAAGCACAGTGTAGATTTTCCATAAAAATGAACATTTTATATTTTATATCTATAAGATATAAACTGTTGTCGGAGGAAAGGATGTGAGGTCAGAGACCATATGTTGTACGGTTTAGGGAAAGAAAATGCAAAATATAGGACACAATTCTGAATTAAAGAGACTATATAGTGTAGAAACTGTCGGTTGCCTAAGCAATGATGGATGAATTTACGCATGACAAGGAGCCATAAGGGTGAAATCAGATTAGATTCGGAGGAATAATGCTCATACCCTATCCTATTCCATATTTATTTTCAGGTTTGTAAGCGGGACAGATAGATTCGTGATTATGCTGGATTTGGACATGGTGCGGTAATGCAACGTAGTCGGGTGGAATACCACATACACATATGAGGAATATATAAATGCTTTAAACGAAACTTATTATATATATAAACAATAAGCAAGTGTTAATGCTCATACACTTTAAGCACACATAAAACATAAAGGTTCAGTATATGTATCACCTCATAAGTAAAGATAGCATTCACGTATTTCTAGTTAATACATAAAACTACAACCATAAATCGGATACCCAAACCAGCTAGAAAACATAGTTTCTCCTACTGCATCGCATATCAGTGATGCAATATCCTCTAAATTGGACTCGGATGTCAAAAATCTCCTACCTTATCCTATGAAAACGGATTAAGTCAGAAATTATCCTAACTACATTCACCCTTAAGGAGCCAACTTCGCTGGTGGAAAGCGGCCAAGGTAGGTTATAATAGGGAAAATAGAAGTAGGTGTGGTAATATAGGCATGACTAGCAAAAGGGCCCGTGCGTTGCAACAGGATAAAAAAATACCACATGCTCTTAATTTACAAATAAGCGTTAATCTGAGTATTTGTAGCTTCGGCCCAAACAAAAGATGGTCTTTGCCTACCGAAATAGGCTTGCGCCCCGCTATATTAATATAGCAACCACCCGATACAGCCAGAAGTTCGTCGTTGGGGGCAAATAGCACAATCAAGCATAAAAGGAAAACAAGAGAAAATCAAGAGAAAGAAATGCCGGCAACATTGTATGAACAAAAGCTGAAGCATCCCGCAACCGTTGCGCCCACCGGAAACATCCACCACGCTCCAATGCCGTCGAGTCACCGTGAACCAAGCAACACCTTCAAGAAGGACTGCGACGATGACGACACTGCTGCCCGGACGAATCCTAGGATTTCTCCCGGTACACGGAGGGAAGCGGGCGAGAGGTACACCCGACGCCGGGCGGACCCTAGAGGGATTTCGCCCTACCCCTCATACCCACAACCCAGGACCAGCCGGCGACTCCAACACGCCAACCACCCACCAACATGCGCCACCACAGTCATGAGGACACCACCGTCGTCTCTCCACCGCAGACGCTGCAAGGCCGACCGAACCAAACGAGACCACCGCCGATAGGGACCGGGAGAACCACAGCCACGTGGGAGGGGACAAACCTCACTGTCACAAGCCATAGCAGACCGGATGCAGGCGCGAGAGCATGCCAGACCCCCTGCCCAGCCGGGCCTAGATCGGGCACGTTAAGCTCCTGCTGCCGCGCTGCAGCCGACGCAGCGCAGAACCGCCGATCCCAACGACCGCATCACGCCAGCCCAGCCGGAGGAGACCCGTCGGAGGCCAGACCAACCCGCCCTGACCCATATCGGGCCCAAAAGGGCCCATATCTGGGCCTGCAGGGCTCCACCGGCCAACCCCCGCCGCCGAAGGGTCGCGCCGCCACCGTATCTGCGCCCGATCTACACCAGAGCACCGACCGCCGAGGTGCACCGTCGCCCGAGCCGGGGAACCGCGAGGGGGAGAGGAAGAGGACCGCCACCGCCGACCTCGCCACGGCGCCAGCGACAGCGGTGGGAGGAGGGATGGGAGGTGGGGGCTGGGCGGC